TGTACAATATTTACAATGACCAAAATGTTCCATTTGTGTGTGTGCCCCAAAGAGTAGGGCCTTTAAGGTATAAAAGATTCATTTGCATATCTGAGACAAAGAAAGAAAACCGATTTGACTGCTACAGTGTCTATATAAAACTATCACTGTTTATGTACATGGGGCGGAGCTTGCGTGTGTGAACAAAGGTGTGCATAATTCGTGCCAGACACTTTAGGTGAAGTTTGGCAGTCGAACATCACCTTCAAAGCGGTCACACTTTGAGGACAGAGACTCTGACCATGGCATATTACAACAGTGTTTACACTGCATCAAACAGACCTGCCCAATTGACCAGTGCTGTCCATAAATTTTACTTGGGCTGTGTGAGGGCAGGCAATGTTCCAAGTGACAGTAGTGTTGGCAAGGGAGTTATTTCACTGAGCATCAAGCACCAGGAGACAAGCTGCAAAGTTTAACTTCATAATGACATACTTTCTTATAGAAATGCACTATCCTCTCCATGCAACACTATGTGCTTTGTCTGAGGAAGAGCAATAAGTATCCTAAAAAACATGTCAAACAATTAGAGAAAAACAATCAGAAATACCTACCCAGAGACTTTCTTGTGTTTCCAGTGAGGTGTACAACAGTACTCTTTATGTATCTACTTTAAAAGGAAAATACCACGGGTTGTAAATCAGTGAGAAGAGAGCAACAAACATCTGCAAAGGTTTGATCATATCGGTGATATCCCTGTGGGAAGGCTAGCTAACATTCTTCAGTGATTTAAAGCACTGTTTTTCAAAAAGAGTGGGAGATAAAATGTTTCCTCTAAAAAAAAAACGCTGTGATACCACTGCTGCTCAGAAACCAATTCACTGTAAACCTTCTAAAGTCTTATCTTCTTGACAAAACAAAAGTCAGTGAATAAAATTACTTTCCCTGTTACAACATATTTCTAGCCTTATATAAGGTTTCTGGTCATAGAGATGCATAAGAAATTCATTATTAGGTAAATGAGATCTATAGGTGAATGACAAATTAAATGCAAGGGCCAAATCAACAAATGTAGGAACATATTGTAAATGCTTTCACACAAGGCACAGTTGGTCAGTGAACGGTTGATGATTTTGAAAATAATGTGAATCATGCGCCTTGGTCTATATAGTCCCCATGTGTAAATTATTGTAGTTATGCCCTCTGGAGCATTAAAGATGTTTTGGATTACTAAAAAAAACTTACTACGTATGTTAGTTTTGCCTCTAATCTCATACCAATTTGTATTTTACCCTAAAGGAACAAACCAAATGTGTGAATCATAAAATGAAATATTACATCTCTTATTTATGAGAATAGTACCATCCGGCTGCTTTGAACAAGGTCAAGCAGAGACTGGCAGAAATCAGTCAGTAATACAGTAAATGTGATGTTGTTTGATGTACACTTAACCTGTTGTGTATCCCACATCCCATCCACAAAATAAAGCTGAGAATAGCTGCCATGTAATCATCTGGTGTTTTGTTACTTGACCTTGTTATAATTTATCATCATCTCCACTACATGCACACCCACTTATACATACTAATTTACACACAAAAATACACACACAATGATGCACAATCCGGTGCAGCGTTCCTGCCGCTCGCCTGCCAAAGGCTCACATTGCAGCAAGGTGACTCAATGTTACCGTCTTCTCCTCAGAGAACCTCCTCATGCTGAATCACAGTTCACTGAAGGTGCTAAGCAGAAAATGTAATAAAGATTCTCTTGTTCTCATGTGACTTTCAGGTCTTCAATTTAGATCCTAATCTATTTTGACAGATACCCACAAAGGAAATCAATGACATTCTGACACAAGTTTTTTTTAAATCAAGTTATTTCTTAATCGCAGCAGAGTAAGGTATACAAATAAGTGTCAATCAAATCATTACAGCATGGTGTAGGGTAAAAGTCTCCTGTTCAGTATGCAGTGTATTTAATCATCATATAGCAGTTGATTAAAAGCCAGTTTTAATCTTCCCCATCTGTTCTAGCTTTCTTTCACTATGTATGTAAGCTATGATCTAAGACAATGATTAACTACCCTCCAGTCCATTGTAACCATTACACTAACATCTACAGGGCAGGGATACTATTTTTAGACACAAGCCAACCAATCCAGATAAAAATTTGATTCACTGTCTTGCAGGACCTGCCAAGGCTCATAAAAAGTTTGTAATTTTATTGTGCTACTCATAGTTCCAGTGGAAAGCCAACTTCCTGTCAACAAATGTATGTCTTTATCCAAGCTGGTCAAAGCAGTTAATGTGTTTCAACTGCAAGAGGGCATCTGCTTTAAACACAGTATAAATATTTTCTCCTTAATTATTTTTGATTGTTGTAATTTTCAGTGTTTATATTGATTTAACAGAACAACTGCTGCAACATAGATGCTAACAAGGATAACAGTTTTTAGTTTGCTTTAATCATGCACTTGTTACCTCCTGCACCTTTATTTGCTCAAATAAGCCAAGTCTGAACAGAAGGCAATAATGGACTTAGGCAACACGTCACAATACCACCCTCTGCTGGAGAGATGTGAACTCAGCACTTGATTTTGCTTATAATGCTGAAGTGTTTTCCTTTGTACACTACTATGTGTCTGTACTACAAGCAGTGAAGATAATAAACTTTTCAGTCTGTGTTGTGCACCTATTCAGGTGTCTGTAACTGCTGTGAACGGTGCAATTTTACAAATAACCAAATGGATTATTCACACAATCCTTCAGTGACAGTCAAGGATAGAAAATAAGGGGGGGTTACAATACCAGCCTACATTATGCAGTACACCCTGGACAGTTCGCTGGTCTATCATAGGGCTGACACTTAGAGACAGACAACCACACACACACACACACACACACACTCCTATGGACAATTTACTAGAGTCACCAGTCAGCCCAAGCTGCATGTCTTTGGACTGTGGGAGGAAGCCAGACTACAAACCGGGTCCGCCTCGGCGGGGTCCCGGCTGCTGATTCCTGCCGCTCGCCTGCCAAAGGCTCACATTGCAGCAAGGTGACTCAATGTTACCGTCTTCTCCTCAGAGAACCTCCTCATGCTGAATCACAGTTCACTGAAGGTGCTAAGCAGAAAATGTAATAAAGATTCTCTTGTTCTCATGTGACTTTCAGGTCTTCAATTTAGATCCTAATCTATTTTGACAGATACCCACAAAGGAAATCAATGACATTCTGACACAAGTTTTTTTTAAATCAAGTTATTTCTTAATCGCAGCAGAGTAAGGTATACAAATAAGTGTCAATCAAATCATTACAGCATGGTGTAGGGTAAAAGTCTCCTGTTCAGTATGCAGTGTATTTAATCATCATATAGCAGTTGATTAAAAGCCAGTTTTAATCTTCCCCATCTGTTCTAGCTTTCTTTCACTATGTATGTAAGCTATGATCTAAGACAATGATTAACTACCCTCCAGTCCATTGTAACCATTACACTAACATCTACAGGGCAGGGATACTATTTTTAGACACAAGCCAACCAATCCAGATAAAAATTTGATTCACTGTCTTGCAGGACCTGCCAAGGCTCATAAAAAGTTTGTAATTTTATTGTGCTACTCATAGTTCCAGTGGAAAGCCAACTTCCTGTCAACAAATGTATGTCTTTATCCAAGCTGGTCAAAGCAGTTAATGTGTTTCAACTGCAAGAGGGCATCTGCTTTAAACACAGTATAAATATTTTCTCCTTAATTATTTTTGATTGTTGTAATTTTCAGTGTTTATATTGATTTAACAGAACAACTGCTGCAACATAGATGCTAACAAGGATAACAGTTTTTAGTTTGCTTTAATCATGCACTTGTTACCTCCTGCACCTTTATTTGCTCAAATAAGCCAAGTCTGAACAGAAGGCAATAATGGACTTAGGCAACACGTCACAATACCACCCTCTGCTGGAGAGATGTGAACTCAGCACTTGATTTTGCTTATAATGCTGAAGTGTTTTCCTTTGTACACTACTATGTGTCTGTACTACAAGCAGTGAAGATAATAAACTTTTCAGTCTGTGTTGTGCACCTATTCAGGTGTCTGTAACTGCTGTGAACGGTGCAATTTTACAAATAACCAAATGGATTATTCACACAATCCTTCAGTGACAGTCAAGGATAGAAAATAAGGGGGGGTTACAATACCAGCCTACATTATGCAGTACACCCTGGACAGTTCGCTGGTCTATCATAGGGCTGACACTTAGAGACAGACAACCACACACACACACACACACACACACTCCTATGGACAATTTACTAGAGTCACCAGTCAGCCCAAGCTGCATGTCTTTGGACTGTGGGAGGAAGCCAGACTACCTGGAGAGAACCCATGCAGGCACAGGCAGAACATGCAAACTCCGCACAGAAAGGCACTGGGGGCCCAAACTAAGCACCTTCTTGTTGTGGGGCGACAGCGCTATCCAGTGCCCCACCATGCAACAATTTACACTGCAAACTACAATATATTGGACAAAAACAGTGTCTATTGTTTACAATTAAGAGAAAAGTGTTGATTAAACAACTTATAGTGAAAACCTGTAGTAAAAGAATGGTTTCAGAATAATAGCTCTGTTTTCATCAGCTTGTATGATGAAGAAAGAAAGAAAGGAAGTACTGACAGGAGTACGACCATCTGTAAGTACAGCAACGAGGTTCCATGTATGACCTCCGCAGGACACAAGTGAGATGTGCTAGGTTGAGAGTAGAACTTGGACTCATTAATCACAGACTGCAGCTTCCTGAGTTGAGCAAAACCTAAGACAGAGTTGCAGTGTTTGGGGGTTTACATTCACAGGAAACCAAAGCCCAGATTTACACCAACTCATATGGCCCTATTGCACCCTGTGTGGTTTCTCTTTCAAATTGCTGATCCCATCAAACAAGAACCTCCCGCCCACCTGCTCCGTCGTCATTTCGCCACGTACAGTTCAATGCAACGTAACTTGCTAGTAGGTTTGACAGAAAGCTAAACTGACCAATGCGGTCAAGACTAATGTGCAAACAATCTACCGTGCTGATTAGTAAACGAGCTGCCAACAGGAACACCAGCTGAGGGGTAGCGAGAGGAGAAAAGCAGAACATATGATGTTTAGGATACATTTTAAAGTGAGTATGCAAGTGACAGATATCTGTGATGCTTCTATTAATATATTTTGTATCATGGGTGTGTAATGTCAGCTGCGCTGTTCGGACTGACAGCATATCATTACATGAGTAGCTAGCTTTTTGGTGCTTCATTCTCATTAGCCAAACCTGTCAGTGGCATTGCTAAAGCTAACGCCGACAGCCTCCTCTGGATATTATTAGCTAGCCAATAGTGTACAACCTGTGCTGGCTAGAAAAGCAGTTTGAATAACCACGTAGGGATTCTTTTATACCCAGTGATACGTTGACGTTTCCTACATAGTTACTGTATAATCTAATAAAAAATGCTATGCAAAATAGTTGTGACGATAATTGTTTTCATTTCTAGATGTGTAGGCGCCGGGCCCTTCTGACCGGCTACGTTCTACTGATGATCCAGCTGCTGTGTTTAGAGGCAGTGCCCATCAGTATAGATAAGATAAAAGTCCAAGAGGCAGAGGATAAACCAGAAGAGCCTGTAGCAAGTGTGGTAAGAATACACAAGATGTATACGACTCTTAATGTACATAAGTTGAAAATTCATAAACAAGCATTATTCTATCCTGTTCTTTTGAGGTACAGCCAGCTTTGCTCTAATCTCTTAACTTTTTAAATTGGGCAAAAAATATTTCCTCAATACAGCTCCTCAAATATGATGATTTTTTTTTTTTCTGTTGTCCTAAAAGTTTGATGCTGGAGGCCAGACAGAACACAAACAAGACTTTTAATTCATGTGTTTGGATCACCTTTGATAGGCATTTTCCTCTTCTATTTTATAAAGTAATGGTTAATCAATGCTCAGAAATTAATCAACACAAATTACTTGTGAGATAGAGCAACACTGTGTACAACATTGTCAAGAAGTTTACAGCCCATGGTGCTGTAGCTAATCTCCCTGGATGTGGGCGAAAGAGAAAATTAGATGACAGATTGCAACGAAGGATTGTTCAAATGGTGGATAAAGAACCTTGATCAACTTCCAAACAAATTTAAGCAGATCTGCAGGCACAGGATGCAACAGCATCAGCCCGCACTATCCGTCGCCATCTGAATGACTAGGGACGCTATGGTAGAAGGCCCAGGGGGCACCACTGCTGACACAGAAACATAAAAAAACCCGATTGGAGTTTGCCAAAACCTACATGAGGAAGCCACAAATTGAGCTTTTTGGTCGAGCACGTCATTCTGCTGTTTTCAGAAAATGAAATGAGGCCTTCAAAGAAAAGAACTCAAAACGGCAGTTGGGAGAAGGAACCCTTTAAATCTGAGAGACCTGCTGCAGTTGGCAAAAGAAGAGTGGCCAAAAATTCCAGTAGCGAGGGTGTGCCACCAAATAATAAGTTGATGGTGTCAATAATTCTGTCCAGTTCATTCCTCATATTATTCTGAGCTGCAGTGATGAAAGCCTGTAAGAAAAAAAAAGAAAAAGTTAGTAATTCGGTCCATAATCAAATAATCTTTGTGCATTTAAAATACAGTGTTGATAATTATGAAGACTGCAGACTCCCTCAGTTTGTTAGGATTCTGGAAAGCCTGAAACAATGCAACGATATGACCGCTCTATAGAAATAGCTGTTTGATACTTATCACATTAATGTAGACCTGGACCCTGTCGGGATCCAGTAGGAATAATTAGCAGTGATCTATTCCGATTAAAAGTGAGCCAGCTTCGCAGTACCAGAAAACCTGAGCTTAAAGTTAGCTGGATAAGTTACTAATCTTGCTTCGTGGTACAGGCCCCTAGACGGAGGATCAGTTATGCTGGTTAGCAGATGCGTGTCCCATGCAGTCAAACATATTTTGTTGCTTACATGGTCTTCAGTACGTCACACAAATCAAAGAAACACTTATAATAAAATGTCAGTACATAAAGTAGCATAATAAAAAAAAAAACGAAACCAAAAAGTGATAATCACTGTAGGATTACTTAGTGTGTTAGCTGGTATACAGTATATTACTGTACATTGAATATTTAACTTTTGATTTGTTACATTTTATAGGATACTGGACTCCACTATGACCGCTACCTCCGGGAAGTCATCGATTTTCTAGAGAAAGATCAGCATTTCAGAGAAAAGCTCCACAATACAGACATGGACGAAATCAAGGTACCCTGCTATTTGGTTTAGTCTTATTAATATGGCAGGTAGTTTACACCAGCCCTTATAATAATAAATTGCATATTGGAAATTGAACTTATCCACCAAAAGTGTTTTTTCTTTTTATTTTGACCCAAAGTTATTTTAAAGAATGATGTAATTAATCATGTGTTTATTACATGTACTGCCTCAACTCCAAGTGTAAATAACAAATGCTTGAATCATTAATGTATGTATTCATTCAGCAAGGTAAGCTGGCCAAGGAGCTCGATTTTGTCAGTCATCATATCAGAACTAAACTGGATGAGCTGAAGAGGCAGGAGGTAAACCGACTACGAACCCTGATTAAGGCCAAGCAAGACCTTGAAGGAGGGAATGGTATGTTGTGCAACAAAATGTATATTTTATTTAGATTGATATTTAGCACAAGTGCATTAGGAGTGAAGACATAAGGAAGTTCATATTTATATGTCTCTATATGTTTTTATTTATGTAATCAATTTCTCCTTGAATAGATATTGCAGTAGACCACCAGGCTCTGCTCAAACAGTTTGAGTACTTGAACCACAGGAACCCACATACATTTGAAGTGGATGACTTGGATCGGCTCATCAGAACGGTAAATCTCATTGCTACTTCATGCCATAAAAATGTTAAATTAAGGATATGTTAAGACCATTCCACTTATTCAAACAGCCATTGACCTCTAGTAAAGTAATTGTCCTGAATACACAAGGCAAATGGAAAATATACACTCTACAGGAATGTTGGGTCTTGGCACATTGGAATGCTGCAGGAGAGAGGCGTTAAAACAGGAGCCCACACAACTGCTTTATTTGTAGTCCCAAGAGCAATGGTCCAAGGATGGCCATAGTCTCACGAGTGGTAGACAGAAATAAATTGCTAAAATCCAGGAAGGAAAAGACAGCATTACTGGTTGGAGAACAACCGTATCAATAGGGGAACCTGCAGCGCAGTAGTCCATGACAATGAATGTTATGCTGTTATTGCATATAAAGGTCTCCTCACTACTACTTGGAACCTGGAATTCAAAGATGCAAACAATATGCTCAATGGCTTAATCAGAGTATTGTGTATATATAGCTCTTTTTTTTTAATAATGATGTAGTTGTGTTTATTTTGCTGCAAAGTTTGTTTTCTAGGTTTAATTTTATAAAATAAAAGCCACAAATACAATATACAGTGGTGTGAAAAAGTGTTTGCCCCCTTACTGAACCCTCCAATGTGGCTGACTTACAACAATTCTGCAAAGATGAGTGGGCCAAAATTCCTCCACAGCGCTGTAAAAGACTCATGGCAAGTTATCGAAAACGCTTGATTGCAGTTGTTGCTGCCAAGGGTGGCCCAACCAGTTATTAGGTTTAGGGGGCAAACACTTGTTCACACAGGGATCTATAGTTTTGGATTTTGTTTTCCCTTAATAATAAAAACCTTCATTTAAAACCTGCATGATGTGTTTACTTGTGTTATCTTTGACTAATATATAAATTTGTTTGACGATCTGAAACATTACAGTGTGACAAACATGCAAAAAGATAAGAAATCAGTAAGGGGGCAAACACTTTTTCACACCACTGTATTGTGGCTGACCTAGAGGTCCCGGTTTTTGGAGAATTGCATGAGCATCTGAACATGCTACAGTTAGTGTGCACAATGATAACATGACTAATTATTTCATTATGGTTCATTGATTGACTTTTCTCGGGTACAAATGAGGATTTTGCAAGTAGATTTCCTTACCCAAATGAAACATGAATGAAAAATGAAAATTACTGGCTGCCTGAGAGCGAGAGAAACATTGGAAATCGTTGAATAGTACTATAAACTTTCCTTTCTAATAGCATGTAAAAATGTAGGTACCCCATAGCTCTTACACAGGACATTGCACCATAATGATTGTTAATTTGATTCCCAACCTTTGTAAATGTTTCACCCTACATCAAGGCAACTAAGGATCTGGAAAACTATGACAAAGAGCGACACGAGGAGTTCAAGAGGTATGAAATGATGAAAGAGCATGACCGACAGGAGCACCTCAAAACACTGGATGAGGAAGAAAGAAAGAAAGAGGAGGAGCACTATGAGGAGATGAGGAAGAAGCATGCTGATCACCCTAAAGTCAACCACCCGGTAAGTCAGCCTGACAATGACACACAAAGAATGTTTTGTTTCTGCCAATGAAAAGAAACTGTCCCTTCTGCGTTGTGTTCATAAATGCTGAGTTTGGATTTTTATTTATTTTTTTTTTTTGGAGTGAAATTTCAACACTGACATGAACAATCTTGAGATGTTATTTTAATGTGATTTTGCTTCCATGTCGCAGGGTAGCCAGAATCAACTGAAGGAGGTGTGGGAGGAAGCTGATGGCTTGGACCCTGAAGATTTTGACCCCAAGACCTTTTTCAACCTGCATGGTAAGACCTTTACCAACCAGCATCTTTGAAGACTGGATGGATAATGTTCATTCATTCAATACTCATTTATACGTTTTGTATTGTCAATCAGAAACGGCTTACTGGTTAACTAGTATCTTTTTCACTTTACTTATAACACAGACACCAATGGAGATGGCTTCTTTGATGAACAGGAACTGGAGGCATTGTTCACAAAGGAGGTAAAGAAACGGTATCTGAAAATTTGTAATGCCTCATTGTCTGGTCTTTACACTGACTGTCTGACTGATTTCAGCTTGAAAAAATTTATGACCCCACAAATGAAGAGGATGACATGGTGGAGATGGAGGAAGAGAGGCTACGTATGCGAGAACATGTTATGAATGAGGTACAGTAAGTTACACTGGGGACCCAGTTCTCATGATTCCCTGGATAGCTACAGAAAAATAGTGTACACGAGATGCCAGAGATCAGTGAAAAATGACACAGGATACTACAAAGATTTCCCACTGATGTTTTCTTTCACTACTTTAAAATGTGTTATTGCTGTACTTCAGTTTCTTAGATGATTATGTTTAAAGAATGAATTTAATGCAGTGTTACTGCATTCACTTTATAGAAAAAGACAACTTATCACCTCTTTACCTGTAGACAGTAGTGCCACTGATACAAACCCTGTGACCAAAACTACAATCTTAAGTGTTTTTATAAATGCAGAAAGAGAGTAAAACTGGAGTTAGGCCTCCATTTTCACTTCAGCTGGCTTTGGATCATCACATTAATGGAGCCCTCTATCTTCTATCTGTTGTTTTGATTCTTTCAGTATTTAACTGAGTATAGAGTCTATGCTAAATAGCCTTCTGATCATGTCTTCCTCATAGGTGGATTCTAACAAAGATAGGCTGGTCTCTTTAGATGAATTCCTGGTTGCTACAAAGAAAAAAGAATTCTTGGAGCCAGATAGCTGGGAGGTAAGACTTCATCATGCTGACATTTTTGAGAGGAATTTAGTCCTAAGAACAGTTTTGTAAAACATACAACTGTAATAAATGGCATCCCATCCGCTCTGTATTCCTCAGACCCTGGAGCAGAATCAGGCTTACACAGATGAAGAGATGAGGGAGTTTGAGGAGCATCTCGCTCAACAGGAACATGATCTCAACCAGAAGTCCGCTGACCTTCAGAAACAGAAAGATGAGCTGGAGCGACAACAGGAACAGCTTAATGCACAGAAAATAGAGCTGCAACAGGTAAAAGGAGTGGTACATTGTTGTTTGAAATACCTTAGGGAGACATGCTGCAGTAGGTTTAGTAATTCTGTAGATGGTTCATTTGAACAAGATGACATTTGCATATGAAATGTGTGACAGTTTTTTGTAACTTATCTAAAGGTTAATTTCCTTGAAATGTTATTTTTCTGTCAAATCATTGTGGTTATCAACTGTACGGTGACGCTTCAGCAAACCTTTGTTACAGGCAGTTGAACATATGGAACGGCTGAAATCACAGAAAGTAGAACACCCTCCAGAGGTTCTCGGTGAGTGTCTTTGGCATCATTCTATTGGTCTTTTTATGGCTTGATTTACCAGGTTTACCTCTGAGAATGTAAAACTACTTCTTTGTTTCAGTTGAAGGAAATGCAATCCCAGAGATGCATCCACTTGACAACCAGTTGCATCCTGAACAAGAGGCGCAGCAACAAGGGCATCAGCTTACACCTGACACTTATCAAGATGCACCTCAGGAACACCATAATCAAGACATGTCTCAACAAGGTCTCCCCCAGACACACCAGGATCTGCCACCAGGCCACCAAGAAGTTGCACAAGGGCAGCATAACCTGTCATAGAAATGTAGTCAAAATTTGAGCCCCCACAACCAGACGTTTGCAGCGCTGCCACATCAGCATACAGAGGAACAGTCCCCCACCCCCGAGTATTAGGCCTCTTCAACCAGCATGACTTAGGTGTTTAGAGGACACTTGAGATTAAGGTAAGCAGCACAAAAGGAATTCCCGTTTAATCGTGCCACTGTTTGATAGTAACTGTAATCTCTGGATTACATAGAACTAGAAAAAAAAAAACCCAAGGAAGTTCATTATATAATGGTCTTACTTAGTTGTGATTGATTACAACAGAAATAATGAAGAATGTCTGGTAATAATTATACCAAAAAGGTTATTTTGTTGAGCTTTCTTGACCTGTTCTTTGCTGTTCAAAGTACAGAACTTCCGAAAATGTCAAGCTTCTGCCTTAGCAACCAGATAGGTTTGAACCAAGATCCTGTTGGTGGATATGTACTGTACAGTGCAGCTATTAAGTGTTAAGGTGTAATTTTTTAAATCTATTTTATTATCAAAATACCCCCCGATATCTTAAAAAGAGATTACTTGCAGTGGACTATGTTACCAAACATTTCAAAAATTAGTGCAAGAGCCATTTTTAATTATTGCATTAAGAAGAAAATGAGGAAAAAAAATAAGAGGCACTACAGCAGTGTGGAAAAAGATTTGTGAAAAGATTTTTTTTTTTAAAGCAGATTAGGGTGCAGTCAGAGCTTTGTGGAAAATGCATTTTTTTCTCCAGCTGCCACTTGTCAACAAGTTTGTTTTTCAAGAAATTATTTAATACTTCTGCTACTTTCTTAATGTTTACTCTGGCTGCTGTTGTAACCTCTTTACCTACAGTCAAACAAAATTTTTAATGTACAGTATAGTTTATTCAGCTGTTTTAAAAAAAAAACAAAAAAAAAAACTGTGCTCTGCCCAAACAGGACTTTTGCAAACAGTCAGCTGTGTGTGCTCTGCTGACTGATGTTAAAGTAAATTAAGTTTCTATTTTCATAAAAGTGAAATCAAACAAACGCTCCCCTATTTGCCCCGTGGATGCTTAAATGGAAGTTTGACATTAGGTACAATATAGCAGTATATTTCTACAAATAATATGAAAAAAACCCTGCTTTGAATGGGCAAATATTAAAATTGAAATAAATTTGCTCTGTTACACTTGGCAGCACAATAGGCATTTCAGTTTTGGTCTGTGTGCCATTTAGGTTTTATCAATTAAGGTGTAGACATCTACTCTGGTGTCTTTCATCACAGTTGTCTACAGTACTTTGTTGAAGCCACTGCTAGATTTGTTGAATTTGTTGACTTATTTGGGAAAAAAAGCTGACGTTTGAGTGATTTAAGTCAGATTTGTCAGCTTAATTTTAAGTTCAGCTGAAGAGTGATATCATAAAAGCCTATTAATTTGATTTCTCTGCATTCAGTTTACACCATTTTGTTTGGCACCAGGTGCGTACTACATGGCCCTAATTTGAAAACAAACTGAAAAACATGGCACATTATCCCCACAAATGAACAGCTTGGTGTAGTTTCTGTGCTACCCAGGTTGCTTTCCTTGTGTTGTGGTTTCATCTAGCCGGCAGATAAGTGGAAAATAGGTGTTAATTTATTGTCACTTTCTGAAATAAGTCTGCTTTACTGTGGTTTTATTTTATACTGAATTTGATATGGAATACATACTTTTTGCTGGCATTATTCTGTCTACGTGTTCTTTTGAAACAAAACTGCATCATAATTTGCACAAAATGTACAGGTGGTGTTTCAGATTGCTTGCTGCTGGATTAAAAACTGTACACCTCAGTTCAAGACAATAAAACCATTAATACTGTTAAGTTTGTGTAACAGAATGGATCACTTGAAGGAACCATCAGACTCACTCACAGTATAAAGTGAAACAGCATTCAAGTATATAAAATACACTATAAAAAATGAAAAGCACAGCTTAGTTGTTGGACAAGAAATCTATAGAAGCATGAAGTATGTACTTAAAGGGATTTTGTTTTAAGTGTCTTTACAAGTTTATCTGTAGTGCGTCATTGTAAAACTGGTGCCATCTGCATGTCTAGTACAAACCACATATGAGAACGATCAGGCTGAATGCAACGCAAAGACCACTTATTTTCACTGAGCATCTTTTTCTACAAACAAATTTATGCCATCATAGTAATTTGAAGAATGCTATGCATATAGTGGTTTTAACTACCCAATTACAAGTTGTTACAATACAGTACATGTGGTTCAGTCTCAAACCAATAATCGACAACAAACCCAAAGCAATCAGACATGTTAAAGCATACAGAATTAAAATAAACTATCCTTAAACAGCAGGTAATAGAACAATTTTATTGAAACTGTATCAACCAATAGCATCAGTGTACAAAGAGGTGGAGACAGTGGTTAAGGGGTTAAAAAAAAAAAAAAAAAAAGCCTCTGAAAATTGTGAGATCAAAAGTAAAAAGTGGCTGAGAGCACAGGGCGGAAGAAAATCATTCTGATGGGATCAGATCGGCAGTAGCAGGGTATTGTTTACATTTATTTGTACAAAAAATAAATTAATGAAATCTTTCAAGTTTACAGGAATATCTATTTGTTGTTTTACATCACAAGGAGTTGCTGATAATCCTACATGTGGTGAAATTCAGCATTTTGTGTTAAAACATTAAAAGGATCTAGACAGACCAAAGCGGGCTGATAAGTGGGCCAGGAGTTAGAAAAAAAATAAAAGGTCACCAATGCGGGAAAATAAACGATACAAAAGTGAGTTGGGGCGAACACATTCAGAAATCCTGAATGTTCAACGTGGCGTGACTTGACGTTCCTTAAAAATGTTTTTAGGATCGCATTGCTTGAGCATTACCTCGGGACAAACCCCGAGGTCCTTGGGCAGCTCCCCGCTTGTAGCCTCCTTGATATCCCTCCTTGAAGAAACGGAGATTTACAAATTACAAGACAAAGCTCTCAATAAACAGATGGCATATTATTTAAGAGCCATTTGGTACAAATGTACTATAAGTTAATAATGACAGAAACCCTCACCTGCTGATAGGTGCTATTGGAATAGTCCCGAGACGTATTAAATTGGGGTTGGCCATAACCACTGCTGGGAGAATTTGAGAAAGGAGGACGATAGCCTTCATATCCACCTGATGACAAATTACATTAAGTGGACTTAAGTAACTTTAACATGTGTCATTACAGTAAATCGTGAGGCCAAATGACTTTTGTATAGTAGCGTTGTGTTAAAACCTCTAAAGCCGTTGGAGGAGCCTCGGTATCCATTCATCATGCCACGGGTGCTCCTGGGTCCACCCCTGGGCACACTCCTGCTGTTGTAAAAAGACTGGCCTGGCTGTCCAAATCCTGCACCTGGAGAGGATGCTTCACGGCCTCCTGTTGGCGGCATGACCTGGTCTTGGGACTGGAACCCACCGACAACTAAATGGGAAACAAACACAGAAGACAATCAGTCTGGGATGCACTGGTAAGATATAATTTACAAAAGGTTTGCACTAAAAATAACTTCCTGCAAGATGAGAAGGCTTACAGGAAGTTTTGAACTCATGGGATGCTGATTGAATTTGATTTCAACTTTGTCACAAGTTTTGTCTTGCAGCAAAAAAAAAAAAAAAACAAAATCCCAAAACAGCATTTTACCTTGTGGACAAAATATTTCACTGTACACACCATCTATAAACATAACATTCTGTACACAAGATGAAATGCATCTTTCAAGGCTTTGTTTTAAATCATTAAATAAACAAACAACCTTAATACTTTGAGAGCTCAATGTAAAGGTGATGTCAAACAATGTCAACTGTGTTTACAACATATACTGGTCTAAAGATATGCAACAAGGCAAAGGTCTGTTCTCACCTGATTGTAATGTCTCCTGAGGGATGTCAGTCTGGTCTACAGTACTCTCTGAGTGACTGGTAAAACCCTGTCCATAGCTACCAGGGAACTGGCTGGGCTGCTTCAGAGGGTCTGCTTGGCCATCAGTGGCTGGAGGTACAGGTGCATTCATATTGAATACCTGGAGAGAGAGAGAGAGAAAAAGGTTTTCTGTACTTTTCATCCATATCAAAGCAATATCACAAATACAATTTTTAGAACCTATGGAGAGAAAGATTTATTGCAGGTTTGGAATTGCCGCCTGTTTAAATGGTACACAAATTATCAATCAGGTCTTTTCTGCTATTAGTAAATTGTAAAAACAAGTATAGAACCTGAACGCTTCCAACAAAATGCAAGTCCACACATGTTCACTGCTCTTTTGTTTAACTGGACCCAGACCCAAAGCATACCGCTTGCACTGACTGGAAGGGTGCTGCGTTGACATTGATGCCTCCAGTGTGGGTGGGTTTGGACACAGATGGGAAGGCAGCGGACAGGGTACATGGGGCGGGGGACTGCTCCGATGACAGAGATATTGAGGCCTGGGGAGGGAGGGAGGAAGGAAGGAGGGAATTTGGAAGGCAAGGAAAAGAAGAGTGCAGAGAGGTCAGTGTGAAAGATGGTGCATGTTCTTTTTCACTTTAAAGCTCCCCTCTACCTGATTATCATATTCAAATGATTCAAACAACTCCCTATAATACACAGTAAATAACATGACATGCCAGATGATCACATTTAATCCATGTAGCAGTATTTATAAAAACGGGCCCACATTTTACAATAAATATTCCGTGCTACTCTTTTTATTCAACAGATGCACCACTCTTTCAGGCAAATCGAAACAGCCAAGTCTGACCAACTCCTCCCTGCTGTGCTTGCACTCTACTTACTTGTGAAGATTCCTGTGGTCCAGACAATGCACTTGATTGAGGACGTGTGGACTCTGAGTGTGCTATTTAGAAGAAAATTTAAAAGACAACCCAAAAAACTAAGTCACGTGTGTATTACATTTTAAAACAACAACAACAAGAGAAAACTGTGACCAGACTCTAATCAACAGAATCAGTGAGAATCTGTTCAGAGTAAAGATAAATTAAATTATGCCAACTTGAAGGGCAACCCATCTGCTGCAGCTCACAGGCTTCATTGGCTGGGCAGACACAATGGCTGGGTCCAGAGCCTGGCCATCAAATTCCAACACAGAGTCCTAGGAGAACCAAACAAGAGTAAAAATATATTTTTTGGTAATGGATCAGATTTAAAGACATTAAAAGAACAAAGTTAGCTAGGGCACTACACTTCAGTAAATCTGGGTCCAATCTCCCATGTCAGCAAGTGTTTGCCCTACTCAGGGCTCCGAAAGGAGCTGCTGAGAATGTAAGGCTGGCTGAGTCAGTATCATTTTTTTGATCCTTTTTCTAAAACCTACTTAAAGAGCTCATCATGATCTGATTTGAGTTATTTTACTTGTCCTTTTATGCCCTTTAGACTACTTCACACTGCAGGACTTAATGCATTTTTTGCGCTGTTGTTCACACTGTCATTTAAATGCGACTGCCATCTGTCTCATGTGTGAACGGTATACGGCCCTGAGGTGACCCATATGCGCAGAAGAGGACGTGACGTCAGACGCAGCGTACTGTGTTTGTGAAAATAAAAATAGATGTGGCTCGTGATAGCATGTGTGTAGCGATGTACCAGTTAATGTGCAATCGAAATAAAGAAGAACATCAAGAAGGAGACGAGCACAAATATTGCTTATGGCCTCGCCTCCTCCAGCGCAGAATTGTGACGTCTGTCGCATTTCACTGACATAAAAATTGCATGAAATGCGACCTGGCCGTTCAGACTGAAGTCGCATTGCAAAACATCGGATATGTATCCGATTTAGGACCACATATGAAAGTGACCTGTGCCGGATTTGAAAAAAATCAGATTTGTGCTGTTCACACTGCCATAAGGAAATCGGATATGGGTCACATCTGGGCAAAAAGATCAGATTTGAGTCACTTCAGCCTGCAGTGTGAATGTAGTCTTATTTGCCATTTGTTTTACTTTAGGTTAATTTTTAATGTTTTTTTGTTTTCATTTCCTTTTATTATTGTTGGTTTTTAACTTTGTTGCCATGTGTGGGAGCATAATTTATTCTAAAAGGTACCCCTCAAATAAAGAATCAATGAATAAATCAATCAATTAGGCAAGTGTCCATCTCTGAGTAGCAACAGCACTGAGCTGGATGCTACAATATACACTCACTGAGAACTTTATTAGGTACACATGCAGAACTGAATGCAATCAAACAACAACCCCACAATAAAATTGTCTTTACGAAGCTTATAATGTTTTGGTTTTTGTAAAAAAAATTTCAAAATTTATTAATTCAATTATATGTTTATAACTGAGGTCATAGTTAAAAGGTGTTTTACTAAACGTTCTCACCTGCATGAAGTTATATGTCCCCTGCATTTGGGCCATGAGGTCTTGCACCACCTGTTTTCTGACCACTGGGTCAGTGGGTGGAGAGGAAGTGACATGGTTTACAGTAAGGGTTGGTTCTGGAGCCAGCTGGGCAGGGGGCTGGTTCTGGAGGGAATTCACCATCTTTGTAACACAGACACAGGAACATTAGAGTACAGGGAAATACAAGGTGTTGAGAAACATGCATAGTGGCGTTAAGGACTGTTGCGATCTACTAGACGTACAGCATACCTGAGCTTCCACTGTCCACTCTTCCACTTGGTCTTTGTCTGTACTGCTGTACGTAGCTTCTGGAATGAACTGTCTGTTTACAAACTATTAACACAAAACGACATACTGGAAATGACATACAACACAAAAGAAACTGCTGCTTTGTGTGATTTGTCAAAGCATTTTATGAAATATTATATGAAATTTTACCTCTGTGGTTTCCACTTTAATTGGCTCTGTGTAATTTTCAGTAGCTATTCCTTCTGGAGAAAAGGAACAGATGCAAAGACAGTTTTATTACCAGGTCAAATAAATATCTCACACACATCTGGTAATGTGTGTTTAGTTACCAGGTTCTGATGGCTGCTCCCCAGCTTTAGACTCTGCTGCCACAGTTTGCTCCTCTGGTTCCTCCTCCTCCTCCTTACACAATCCATTCTGATGAGTTTGTGCTCTGTCAAAGTAACCACTCAGCAGAACTTTGTCCAGAGTGTCCTTCAGTGACTTGTCTGGAACAAGGACGGCGTGACAGGTCAGAAAACAAAAACACAGATTAATGGCACACATTTATATTAATTAACAGTTGTTGCATGTTGGGCTATCAAAAGCCATCAAAATACTTACATGTAGTCCCTGCCACAGCCTTGTCTCGGCCCTCAAGGAGTTCCCACAAGTGTAGTGATGCCTCTTCATATTGATCAGTCAGCCTAGAAGTTGCACAGCAGGGTAAATATACAATGCGATTGTATGCTATTGACATATGCTATGCTTTCTATATCCTCCTTGTTAAGTAGTTAGGAAAATGCAGCTACTTGCAGATAAAACCATATTTTATGTGACATCTATGCAGTGATAATTATACTTTAATCACTGTACCTAACCTATGCAGACTTGACTTTTGTGGCATTAAGGTTACAGGTACCTTCATACCTGACATCACAGTTCCTATCAGGTCCCACCAGTTTGTAAAACTCATCAAGGGATGCAAGGTCCGCATCAGTGAGCAAAGGGGAACCAGTGGCATCAGGCCGCTTTAGGTCCTGTCTGACATGGTCATCTCCCAACTGGTCCAGTAAAAACTGAAGCTCCAAAACTGTCTTCAGCCGCCGCTGTTCCATCTCCTCTCGCTGCAGCTGTTCCCGTCTTGCAGATTTTTTCACTGCTTTCTGAACCTGAACACCCATAGTGACGTGTTTTGGTATATTTTGTTTAGCAAGGTTTCCCCAAACAATTCACAATCTTATCAAACTGTACCCTGTACATTGCTGATCTGCATTCAGTGAATTCTTGTCATGTCACATTGTGTATGATATCAATGATATCCCTGGAGCATAGTATCAGTTACAACAGGTTGTGGCAAGCAAGCTCTTGATATACAGAAGAATCTGTTTTACTGGAGACAGAGAAGAAATACAAGGTTTGCTAATGTTGCAGTTATCCAAAACTGCAACTAAATGATACTAAAGGAGCTGTATCAAACTGATATATCTTTAAAAAAAAAAAAGATAAGGCTTAAACAATCAACAAATTGAGAGAACAGTTATACACACCTCTTGGCCCAGCGCCAGGAAGCTCTTCTGCAATTCTCGAGCAAACTCAAGGTTGTTGATAATCTCTTGATACTTCGACAAAGCCTCCTTCATTTCCATTATGGAAACAACATTGAGATGAGTGTACAATTTAAAAATGTCCTCAAATAGCAAAGGGTGTAGTAACACTGTACTGTTCTCAAGAAGCTAACAGCAGACTGCAATATCTTACCAGCTGATCCTGATTCAGTCTTTCTCCTTTATTCTTCTTTGCCTGATAGTCATCCAGTTTGGACTGTAAGAATATTGACAAATGTGAAATTTAAGTTGAGATAAAATGTTAAATTAAAAAAAAAAAAAAAAAAAAAATCATTGGGTGACAGAACTTTAATTGAATTATGATTTAATAAAAGAATATGGATCTAGTTAGAAAAGATGTATTGTTTTTCATACATGTAAGAACAAACTATTACTATGACCTTGGACTGTAACCAAGACAGACACAACTGGCTACTACTGTGTAGCGCAAACTAATTCAAACTCATATTCTCAGTCTGGTATCAAAATCCCACAGTCTGCTTGAGGTTAAACAAAAGAATATGATATGATACCACAAAACCCCATTTTTTATTAAAAAAAAAAAAAAAAAAAAAAAAAATCACTAGAAATACCTTTTTCTTTTCCATGTTGCGAACTTTCTTGTCAATCACACTTAGAATCTGCTTCATGGCCTCAGAATGACTTCCATTTCCCAGATCTGGAATGGCAGACTGGACAGCATTGTTGCCAACCATTGCCGAAGGCATCTATGGGGAGAAAATGTGTTTTGAAGCATTATAAGATTACAATTTTTTATGCCCAAATAGAACAGACAAACACAGCACAACTTTTGTTTACAAACAAAGTAACACAAATGATCTGATTTTGAGTTGTACAATTTTCTATTGAAGCTACATGCCTGTGTATCTATATGGAAGAGAATGTGAAAACAAGACTTAAAGACTTCTTTGCTTCAGAAAAGCAGTTCACACACACACACACACACACAAAAATCTGCCTCCATTTCCTTTTCCATTCTCATTACACAATGCTGACTGTCTGGGTCGAGTGCCACCTGGGGATGAGCGAGGAGTCCTCTAATATCCCACAGTGAAGTTTCCCAGATGCTGTTATTCACTATGTAACGTTAGTATGTTTTGAACAGTGCTGGCATTGCTTTAATAATCAAATGTAACCGACTTCATGTCGTCTAGGATTCACATCAGGATACTCAAACCGGGCCAGAGGAAGTGATACCAACCCGACGCTGATTTAGTTTAAGAAGTATTAAAACCTATCGTGATTACCCCGAGGCACATCTTAACCCAATGTTAATTAAATAGTTGCATCGTTTGTTGGGGTATAAGGATGATAACCTAAATGTGTACCTTAACAGAGTGAGCATACCATTAACATTAACACAAGTTACTGTCGGCCTTCTATTCAAAGTTATAAAACTAGCCTAGCTCCCTTGAAGACGTCAAACCTTACTGACATGCTAACAAAACTCATCTAATCCTCGTCAGCTGATGTTGTAAACTCCTCTTTTTGACTTAGTTAGCAAGCTAGTCTTTGACCGGTGCTAGGTTAACGTTAGCCAGCTACATCAAATCAGTTTAATAAAAGGTTATCAGTGGTCGTAATCGCCCTGTCCCACTGTTAGCTGAAAGGCTAACATGCTTATTAACGTTATGCTTAAGTAAACCGGATGTCAGTTAAACCTAACTTACAAAAACAGTTATTCTAGATTTATATGAAAATAATGTCGGTCCATGGCGATTTCGATTGTGAAAAACAAAGACAACGTTGGGACGCTGCGTCAACTCAGTGTGTGCAGTCGCCTCGAGTAATTAAAGATCGCTAAAGACGATTTAGTCGGGGGAAAAAAACACAGATGAAACATTCATGTATTTGCAGTGACCCATACCTTTATACTCTTTGTCTTCACAGAGACTTCTCTTGTCGGATTTAACGTTAGCTATGTAAATGCCGTTCGTACCTGCTACTTTCAAGTGGTATTTTTCTAGAAGGATGCTCAGTCTCACACCGGTCAATGGCTGACTAGCTACTTGCTATGGCTGCTGCTGAGCTAATGGTAATGCCTACAAGGACCCCACTGCTAACCTCAAGACTGCCTGACAGAAAAAAAAAAGTTTTTTTTTTCTCATCATGAAGGTCTAAATGTTATGAGCCTCCTACACCCTCCCAGAAATACAATTTATATTTGTATTATAAGTAATAAATCTTATTATAAGTAAATAATTTATTAGTCTAAAAGTGGTCAGCTTTAGATATATTAAGTCTAAAAACAGCAGAATCAGCCTATGAAATACATAACCAAGGGTTAGCCATACCAGAAGTGCCTAAATTCTCAAAAACAATATAGATGACATTATTTCAGTTGATGACAGTTTTCAGACCTGATTGTCACTTTGCCATGTGTTGGGGAGCTACTATTCTTAAACCACTTGTTTCCAAAAAAGTTTATTCCATTTTTGGTGATTTATGGCATCACACAAAAGCTTTAGCCAGCTGCTTTTGGCATAAATTTGGGCTGGAAAATAAAAAGGCTCTGCAAGTGTTGCAGTCTTTCTCTGAGCAGCATTCTGAGTCAACGGTGACTGTAATAAAATTTTGGAAAGTTAACTCTCAAAATGAGGTGCTGGAGGATATACTGCATGGTCAGACTGGAATAAAACAATAGCCCTAGTAATACCATAGAATGAACAGATGATGGCACATGTGTCACATATACTGGAAGAGTGTCAAGCTTGAAATGTGATGAAAATCATCTGCAAGTCAAATCCTGTAGCTGCTGTCTCAGATGGTCCTCAAGTACTGTTATTGAAATTTTGAACAATTTCCATTGGGTATTGAGGGTATAATGAACCAGCAACCTGAAATGAAAGAACCTAAAGCAACAAGTGAAACAAAGTGGAAAAAACAAAGCTGCACAGTAGTGCACCAGACTAACTGTAGCAGGTTACACCACATACTCTGAATATTATCAGGCCAAAACAGTTCATGACACGGCTACCCCTATAGTGGTAATAGTAATTTAATACTCATGACCTAAGGTCAACACCACCAGTGTTTATATAAGTCAAATCAAAACTTAAGGGAAAATGAGCTTTTTTTCAGATTAAAACATGTTCTACTCAGTCCCATTAGGATGTATAATAGAGGACTCAGAAACACATTTATTTTTTAAGAGATCAGAAGGTGAAAGCTCAGAATTTTCGCATTTTGCATTATATGGTAAAACAAATAGTATATGAGAGCCTTAATATATTTAAACCTTCAAGGGTTTAATCTTTATTAAATTTTATATGCTAACTAGTCTGTTGGGGTTGTAGAGATCCTTAGCTCATCTTTCAGTTGTGGGTTACTGAATAATGGCTATATATCCGTCAGTGCTCCTCGTCTGCAGTACAGATTTATTGGCTGAAAACCCACAAGAGCTTCACAAACACTTTTGCCCCAGATCAGTAGGGCAGGTCAGGCAAGCATAGGAATTCATCTATAACCCCTCTGGTGTGCTCTGTGTCTATTTCCACTCTCCCTTTCAAACTATACATCTTTACATTTTGATATTTGAACTTTTCATAAACTCATACTTATCTTACCCATGATCCCAAAAGTGTTTTTATTTTGCAAGAAGCCACCAAAAAAACAGAGATGAAATCAGGGTCTCTGTGTTTTCAAACATTTTCTAGGGGATGAGGGGCTTTTTCCACTCCCAGCCTCTCTTTAGTTAGTTGGACAACATTAATAATTCATGGCCCACATGTGTTACAGACAGATTACAAGCATTTCCATCTAACTACCATCATTATCATTATTACAGTTGGAGAATTGTATTCACCATCATGAAAGCTGCGATATATGTGATTGAGGTTTGCCTTTGGAGTGTGATTCAAGGGTGAATTTGTTTACAATGCAATCTTTTGGGACAAACTATAATGATTAGTATCCAGTCTTTCACATTTTAAAACCAAGTGCATTGTTTCCTCACTGCAGTGCGTTTATTTACAAGTTCATACCAGTGATGCCTTTGGGAATGTGAGTATTTTCAAATATGCCACATGATTTATGCCACAGAGAGCTGCTGTGTAAATCCAAGAGATTCATGACCACATATATTTTTGAAGGTAGTGGCAAAATGCCTGCAAACTGTATGCCCCTTAAAGCTATGGTTTCCGTGTGTCATCCTTTTGTGAGTAAATTTAAAAGTTGTAATTCACAAGGTGACATGGCAGCTGAAGAGAAGCAGGATGATTTTGCTGCTAAATATAGTTCAAACTACTTTATCATTATTTACAGATTTGTACTTTTACATGCAAAACAAAATTTTAACAAAAAGTAACACAAAAAAGTCACATGCCAGCAAATGACACCACTTATTTAAGTTTATCACCTGAAACCTAAACCTGTCACTAACAAAACAATCCTTTTTCACAAGGACAAAATTGCAATGTCGTATTTTCATTGTGGAAATATTTGGATTTTGTATTGTCTGACTACAACTAAAACAACAACAACAAAATAAATACTTACCGTGCACCTTTTTAGGCTATTTGATCTACTTGAGCACTGGTCTAAAAATGGGCCTGTTGCTTTGTGAGTTTTATAACATCTGATTTGTACAATCTGAGCAACTAAAACAGTCTTCAACTTGTACAAACTTGTACATTTTTAGATAGTATGAACAGCTTGAATTTTGGCCTATTTATATTACTTCTCAGAGCAGAATCTCTTGTTTATGTGACACATGAGCAGCCTCTCAAGATCCTTCTTCAACAGGCGGTTCTATTTGGCACTTAAAATGTCCTTACCGATGCTGATGCTCACATGTAGCACAGTAAAATAAAAAAATAAATAAATAAAAAAATCATTCCTTTCCTTTATGACCCAATTTTTTATATATATTTTTAGGAGTTAAGTACGTCAAAATGGCAAAAAGGCCCAAGAGCCTCTCAGTACTGCTTTTTTTTATTTATTAGTAGCTCACAACATATCTCAGTCCAGCCCAACAGCTTTCTCTCCCTGTCTATATCTAAAATCTAAAATAAAGTGCAAACTCACAATTCACCTTATCACACATATTTTAATACTGACATTGTGCTTAGTTACTTTCCACCACTGGTAGTAATTACTTACTAAATTAGACTTAATTACAGCAGGTAAGACAAAAGTGATTCTTCACTTAACTAGATGAAAAATCTTCATGTACAAATTATGCAGCAATATTATAAGTACTGTAAGTCCTGTACTGTCAGTAATCACAGTACTTTAAGTGCTCTGCCAATTTAAACACTCTTGAATGAAATGGCAGAACTAATCAACATATTTCCAATGCAAATAAATATTGTACACATCGGGTAAGAAGGAGTGTGTGATCAAATGCAATTTCTCTACAGACTCATTATTATTTTTTGTCAGGTTTTTTTTTTCCTGTCCTGCATATGTGTTTACACAAAACATGCATAACATTTTAGCTTAAACAAGTAAACAAAAAATCTGATATGTATTTGACAGCTGGGAGTTCAGATCTTTTATTCAAAATCTTGAATTTTGAAAAGTCCTTTGAGCTAATATTTAATGAATATATTTTATTAAGAATAAGAGTTGTGTTATAAAAGTTCAAGCAAATTTGGTTTGCTGTTGTTGAATGGTCTGCTGTCGCTGTGAGGATTGAAGTAAATAAGAAGGTGGAGGAAAAATAAACAATGATCTCTGACTTCCTGTTCTGCATTGCATGACTAGTGTTGGCTCTTGAAGCCCAAATGTCAGGATCGGGTCAGCACTAACCTGGTCTGCTCAGTGATTGGAATCCAACTCACAAACTGATCTTATCTGACGTTGTGAAACCATAGCAGTCCTGGCACTTCTGTCCATCAGCATCATGGGAAGCAGGCTCAGGGTTGAAACCACCAACAGAAGTCTGTCAGTCGGGACATGTTTAGAGCAGTTCTCCAGGTCCAGCTACATAATTAGTCAAAAAGTGTCAGAAGTTTTACCATTAAATCAAATCATGCAGAAGTGACAAATAACACTTATCAACTATTTTTTTTATTTGTTTTATCATTTTCTGGGAATGAAATATAGTGTTAAAGTGCTAGAGTAAAATTATGAATGTCACACTTATAAATCAAAAGCAAGCATGGATTAATGTCGATACATTTTGAGGAAGGTGTAACAAAAAATGATACAGAGCAACTGCTTAGCCAAGATCTTTGTAGGAACGCAAGCTGAGGGAGGGGTATTGAAAGAAGATGATGAGCAAATTTAAAAAGCAGGTTCATTGACAGCAGATTGGACTGAAAGAGTATCATAGAAGCTCTATTTGCGCATAAATAAAAGTACCCAGAGGTTAAAACAGACAGATGCTTGATTTTAGCAGATCCTCCTCAGTGATGACAAGAGATGAGCTGGGCTGAAATGTATGCTTTGAAACGCAACCCAGTTTGCTGTCAGGCAGATGGAATGTGTCATGTTTACTCTGCGCTCCCATTCAGATCAATTTAGATGAAAATCTAAACCTAAACTTGGTGCCAAATAACTTCCTCTGTGAGTCTGTGTATTTTAAAGTTATGGAAGAGTTTCAATCTTCCAATCTTCCAGTGTTACCTCGGGTGAAATCTACCCCATTCTGAAAAACCAAAACAAAAGAGATGTGGAGATAATAAAGTTTCATCCAAGCATAATGTTTCATCAAACTAGAAACATACTTGGATGCAGCCTGACTGTGATGATGGTATCATCCGAATGTGAATGGCCACAAAAATGTCTGATCCCATCGAATATTAGAAAAACTTAACTTTGCAGTCTACCACATCTTTAGGGAGGTTATTATTTACAGAAATATTCTACATCCATAGCTTTAAGTTCAGAAAAGGTTAAAGCTTTGATAAACTGATCTTAAATATACAACCACTTAATGTCTATATATAAAATGTGAAAGGGCAGGCAGAGTGGGAGGACCTGTAGAGTTTGTGAGCATGGTGCCTAAGTGAAAAATGTAATGACATTCATTATATGCCAAGTCAGAGCTTGAACAAACAAGTGCAGACCTGGAGAATGAA